GCTTATAAAAATGTGTTTGAACTGGCACCATCATTTCCATATTGTGAAGAACTAAGCACAAATACAGAGGAGTTCCCTAGCGCTTACATCATGCTTACATCAGCCGCCTAACATTTTACTACACCCAACTGCCTGGAGGTAACTAACTGTAAGTACCTACTGGTCATCGCTGTTTTCCTTTCTCAACAACTTCAGCTACAAGAGAATGAACACATAGCACTGAAATCCTTAATTTAAATTCTCTTGCTAAGACCCAATAACTCTGTCATGAGTAAATAATCTCCAGGTTATGCTGATATAGCCCATTAAATAACTGACCATCATCACTCTATGATAGGAAGCTATAGGAGTCCTTTCTGCATCATTTGGTATCACTTCCCATTCGCTGGAAGAGAATAAAATAAAATATAAGCAGTCAATAGTACCCTTTAGAATTTTATTAAGGAAATTTCAAGTATCCAACATCCAAAACTATAAAACAGGCAAGTGAACCAGGTGCTATGGTGGTTGGCTAACAGTCGTTTAATCACAGAGTGCTTTTTTGCATAAAGCCTGTGGTGAAAAACAGAAAAAAGAAGTCTTGTCAGCAAACAAACTCTCCCAATTCTATCACTAGTTTTCTGAGGAATTGAGAAAACCTTTTCTTGCCTCTGCTCCATTTAGCGCATTTGAAATGAGATGATACGAATTCAGAAGAATGACATAAAAAAAATCAAAGTTTAGAAGGCAAATATGTTCTGAGACCTTAATAACAGCAAATTTTACGGACGTTCACAACTTTACAAAATGCAAAGCTGATGTACAAGGCAGGTTATCCCATTAAACATTATTTCATTAACAGCCAATGTTTTCCCAGAGCCGTCGATGTATCTGGTCTGTTCCGGGTACGTGGCCTTAGAGTGGTGAACACAAGTTCTGGCCCCTGCAAGCGGGAGGGACCGTGTTTCTCACGCACAAAGGTGAGTGGCTGAGCACGCTCACACTGGGAGGGTTGCAAGCCACTAAGATACCTGTGATAAGGTGCCCATCCAGGGTGAGCCGATGGCCCCGCCACCCGCTGTCACGCTCACAGGAATGCTGAGGTCACGTGGTCACATCCACTCCCCTCTCCCAGCCCCACGGTGGTCTGCCAGGCACAGCAAGGCCAGTGTGCGGCCAAGAGCAGACTGTACATGTTCCAGATGTTTGCTGAAGAGCAGGGAGACTTGAGCAGTTGTAAAGGAGACAGCTGAGACAAGATGGGTCCCACCCCAGGGAGCCACACATGCTCTGACCGGCATGTTACAGAGCAGAGTTCCATCAACTTTTCTAGAAGGGCACACAGACTTCACCGCTAGTTCACTACAAAGCATGGGACGGGATTCACAGCCAGATGGGCGGGGTGCCTGGGCAAGGGGAGGGGAAAGGTCTGGGGCTCTGGGAAAGGTCATGCCTCTTAGGTGGGCCACCCTCCCCAAATCGTCAAGTGTTCATCCCTGAAAGGTGTCCAGACCCCACCCTTTGGAGTTTAGCGGGAGCTTCACCACAAAGACAAGGCTAGAGCACTCGTTAGCCACTGTCGAGAACTCAGTCTCCAGTTCCCCTGGCACCCAGGCTCCATCCTGAGATACCCCTCCACCCCAAAGCCACCTTGTTTCCATACCAAGAAGCACCTCTAACGCACAGCCCTTAGGAGATTCCAAGGGAGAGCTACGTAAACCACACTGCAACCCAGGATGGCAAAAGGTTGCTTCCCGGGTTTGCCCTGATAACTGGGACCATTTATGGAGCGCGTGCACGGACTCTGTGCTAAGTACTTTTCCACTGAATCTTCACAATATTTAAAGATATGTGTGATGAACCCCATTCTACAGGACCAGAGGCAGACTTAGAAAAGTCCGGCAATTTGCCAGGATTGTTGGGCTTCTGGTAAGAAGGTGGGGGCCCATAAGGGTGGCCCCAAATCCAGGCCTTTGCCCACTCTCCTAGGTCTGGAGGGCAGCATACTGGGTCTGCCGCGGCAGCTCTGCTCCTCATCCCTGTGTGGTCTCAGGTATTTCCTTGGCACTTCTAAGCCTCCCTCACAGCGCTCAGCTCAGCGTAGGAGTAACAGCTTCAGCCTGCCTTTCTCCCACGGTTGGAGGCAATAGGAGGCCTCCGGCTGCTCTCAGCAAGCCCCTGTCTCTGAGACCTGCTTCCCCACACATGTGCTCCAGGCTGGGGGTGGGGGCAGGACAGTGTTGCAAAGGAGCCTAAAATTAAATCTAGAAGTTACTTGTTTTCCTTTCAAAGTGTGTAGTTACCTTTTCGCAACTGCACAGGAAACAGGACTGCTTTGTTTGAAGACACCTTCTACCAGCACGAAAGCTCTCTAAACACAAAGTTAATCCAAACAGGCCACCACATGGGCCCGCTCAGCAAGCAGCTCCAGGAAGGACAGAAGGAGGCAGACAGTGGACTGACAAAACTGGCATTTCCTCCTCTCAGCCTGCTGGAACTCCATTTCCTCTGTGTGTGACGAATTGGCTCTCTACATTCCCCTCAAATTGATTTAATCAAAGTTATTTCATTCCACTTAGTCATTAGCAGTGATCAAGAGCTTAAAAGTAACACAGTGACAAATATTCTTACCCAAACCATAATATTCTATAATTTGAACGGACTGAATTATTTTCAACCAAGGCTTACAGACCTGTTTTTGAAATTCCCAATTGTCTAACTGAAGCCATCCTCATGGAAACCACACACACACACACACACAGAGAAGATCCCAAAGTAAAGTTGCCAACAGCAGCTAGTAAAACCCCAGTGCTCACACCCACTCCCACTGGCATCAGTTATCATCACACGGACACAAGAAAAGACCCCTGACACCCTACTGGCAAGGGCTTTGGGGAAAAGACCCCTGACACCCTACT